AAGGGCCAGCAAGGAGGGAATAAGGAAGGACGACACAAGGAGGACGGGAAATACTCAGGAAGCATGAGACAGAAGAAAAGAAATAAGGAGACATGACGGAGGGAAGTGCCCTACGGGGGAAGAAGGCACCAAAAGGAATGCAAAAGGGACTTGATGCAAAACAGGGGGATTACGGAATAGTGAAGAAAATCCAGTATTGGATCCGGCGGTTTCATCCTGCGCGTTGCTCATCGTATCGCGCCATTCGAACCGGTCTGAGAGGGCCCCAAGATAATCGCCGGCAGCCCGTCCAAGATGAGCGACGCCGCCGCGGATTCGACTGCTAGCGTTGCGAGCGGCGCCAAGCGCCAGGGAGCCGAATGCGACGGCAAAACTGATTAGGGAGGGTATCTTGTAGTGCGTCAGCGGTGGCAGGCGCTCGGCCAGCGGCTTGTGGCTGTTGCCACTCCACGAGCAGATTACCAGTTTTTTTTTTTGCGCGTGCAGCGTCACTTTTGCGCGCCCAGATGATGCAGGGGCGCCCCCCCGCATCGCAGGAATACGCGTGGGCGTTCCCCTCGTATGCTTCCTGATGGTATCCTTGTCGAACATATGGTGCAACGTCTTGCTGCGCAGGTCAACGTCGCACTTCGCCGATGGGCGGCGGCGAGGCCCACGCGCGTGCTGAATTATGCGCTGGCTAGTTGAGCCTCCGCGATGCACGCGCGGGGAACGGGGGAGAGACGAGGGGGGTTTAGAGAAGGAGAGGGATTCGTAATGCGGGGCGTTTTCTCTTCCAAGTCGCCACGTTCTAGGAGGCGCCGACAAGAGCCATGCGAGGGGGAACTCGCAGCGTGCGGGTGTCTCATCGCGCGGCGGTGGAGGTTTAGCGCGCGTTTTTTTTTTTTTTTTTTTTTTTTTTTTTTTTTTTTTTTTTTTTTTTTTTTTTTTTTTTTTTTTTTTTTTTTTTTTTTTTTTTTTTTTTTGTTGTTTTTTTGGGGGGTCGACCCAACGGGCGCGTCTCCTGATGGGCTTCCTTGCGGGGGCGCGCTGGGGCCTTCGGACAGGGCGGGCAGCAAGCCCCAACAAAAATCCACGTCCAACGGCCGCGCCAGGATAATCGCGCCTTGCGGTCTGGGTTAGCGAGTGCGCTTTCCCACGCGGTTGGCGCTGGGAGCGCGAGGGTGGTCGCGCCCCGTCGCGCGGCGGCAGATTCCGCGTTCGCAACGGGCAGCGCGATATATCGAGAGTGGGACGCGCGCGCGCCAAAGGGGGCGCAGGGGGGGGCTCGGGGGGGGGGGAGGGCGAGGGAGAGGATAACGACGATTCGCAGTTCTGTCGTGAGCGGTCGAATTGGCTCGAGTACCTTCCGCGCGCATAGCGCGCATGTCAGGGTTGCACTCGAAACTATTTGCATCGATGACCTATAGTCTCCGCGACCGATCCCGCTCGCCGCCAGTAGAGACAGGCGCAGGCAAGGACAACTTGCAGGCAGAGAAAGGCGCAGGCAAGGGGAAATCCAAGGACAAGAGCACGGGCGATGGTTTTGAGGCATGCTTGCAGTCAGCGCTGGAGGCCACGTTAACAGCATGCAGCCGCTCTAATTTTGAGATGTTGCAGGCAATCGAGGGCATGGGCGAAGCCTCGAGGCAGAACCGCGAGCTGAAAAAAGCTGCATTGGATTTAACATGTCGGGTGGGGTACCTTGAGATGGTTGTGAAGGTTTGCTTTTTCCGATCAAAGTAAACGGAAGGTTTTGAACTGCCCGCGTTCCAAGCGGGCGCGTGCGAAAGAGGACTGCGCAACGCGGTGGCGCCAGAACCTGGGGGACACCCAATGGGGCCCAAGGTATTGGAGCTACTACGTCAAGTGCTGGATGTACATCGCGGAGAACAACGACGAGTTCGTATACATCCGCGACTTACAGTGCAACGATCGATTCCACGGCTGGACCCCAAGTACAACTTGGGTGACCGATGCGACGAGCTTCGTCGGGATCGATGGCCACAGGATTTGGGACCACAGGTTCGACATGCTCGACTGGCTTGAACGTTATATTTATACGAGTTCGCCTCGAGCGCTGAATGCCAATATAACCCGACTATACATTACTGTGTATGTATAGATATATGTAGAAGTACATGTATATATATATATATATATATATAGGTATATTCAGATTTATATTTATATATATATATATACACGTATATATATACACACCCTCTTGATACAACTTCGATTCGAGCAGTGGACACCAATATTTCCCGACTATGTGTGGATATAAATGTGTATGTGTGTATATATTTATATGCGTATGTACATGTATATATATATATATGTATATGTATATATATATATATAGATAGGTGTATACATATGTACATATGTATACATATGTATATATATATGTGTGTGTAAACATATGTCAGTGCGTGCACGGGAAGGTTGTGAGCGCAATGACTTGATGAGACAGGTCAGAAACGAACCAATTTAAATGGGGGACCCCTGGACTCCATAGCCTTTCTTCGGTTCGAGATGGCCCGGGCCCCTGCGGGCCACTGGGCTGTCCTCGCGCTGGGGCTCTCCCGCATCTCCTCGCTTTTCTCGCCCGCGGAACCGCGCCCATCGGCAGGGCTGCCGCCCTGCGTGCTGGAGGTTGTGTGCCCGCCCGCGTGGCTGCCGACTGGGAACAGCGGAGACGCTCGTCATCCTGGTCCCGAGGCGCCGCCTCGCGCGGCGTCTCCCGCCGTCTGCCCGGCCCCCGAGCTGACCCAGGCTCAGGCGGAGCCTGAGGCGGATTCGCTCGGCGCCCTCGCGGCGGCGGCCCCTGGCGCGCTGGTGGCGCGCAGCTGGAGGCGTGCCGCGCCTTGCGAGGCTGCCGTGGCCGAATGCCCCAGGCTGCGGAGGCCTCGATCGGGGGGCGCGATGGCGCCACCACCGCGAGGCGCGGGGCTGGAGGGGTGGAAGGAGCTCCTGCCGGGCCAGCGGCTCAGCGTAGGATATAGCGACGATCAGGTGAAGCAGGAGGGCGTGCTCCTCCGCCCGAGCTGGCCGCCAGGCGCCCGGGCCGCGTTGGCGTCTGACGCCGCCGAGTACGAGGAGGACGACGCCGACGCGAGCCCGCGGGCGTGGCCCGTGGGCGCGGCCCAGATGCCAGCAGGAGGAGGCGCGCCCGAGGGCTGGCCGCGGACGTCCCGCCGCTGTCGGGCGGCCCTCTCGGAGGAGGAGCTCGAGGCGGCGATCGTGCACAGCCGCGTGCTGGTGGAGGAGCGTCTGCCGGGCCTCGCGCCCGGGCCGCCTGCGAAGGTAGCGGGCCCGGGCGCCAGGCGGGCGGAGGGGGCGGACTTCTTCGGCGAGGCGAGGCGATCAGCGCTGGGGGTCAAGAACGACTCGCAGGGGAGATTTGCGAGCCCATCAGGACCGCCTGCCGAGAGAGTTCGCAAGAGGCCTTCCCTGCCCGGCCCAGCGAGGGGCCTGTGTCGGCCTCGACGGCATGCAGGAACATGGGGCGCACGAACAGCGACCCCAGGTTCTGGCGGGGGGGCTTCCTGAGGCCCAGAGGCGTCGGCGACAGTGACAGAGTGACGCACGAGATGCACGTTCTCTGCGACATCCTCCTCTGGGCCGTGGTCTGCGCCCAGATGGATCTAGGCGACTCGACGTGCCTGGAGACGGCGGCCAGGAGGATCACGGAACTGGTGGAGGTGTACTTCGATCCAGCCAAGCCTGTGTGGGACGGCTCCCGCCTGTACCCTGGCGCTGTGTCCTCGGATGACAGCGCGGATCAGACCCTGCCGCAGTTCGCCACCAGGAGGATCAGGGAGCAGCGGGAGGCCCAGGCGGAGCCCTCGTATGACAAGGGCCCGCAGCGCACCGAGGGCGACGGTACCACCGACGGTGGCGGCAGGGATCGGCAGAGGCGCCCGCCATCGAAGGACGTGAAGAGAGGCGTGGGGGGGGCTGGCGCCCCCCCAAGGGGCAATGACGGCCCCTGCGGCCGGGGGGAACCCCGTCCCTGGCCGTGACTCAGGGGTGGCGCGGGGTCGGCTTGCCGCGTCGCGCAGTGCCAGGGAGCTGTTTCCGCTGCCGCGCTGGCGCCTGCCTGAGCTGCCTGTGGCCGGCTCCGTTCGGAGCAGGGCCCTGCGGCGGCGTGAGGGGCTGGTGTTCAAGATGGGTAACGAGGCGGTGGACGCTCTGAACTGGCTTGCCGGTTGTCGGGGCGGACCGGCCTACTTCGATCCCGGCCCGATGCAGTTTGAAGTTTTGGAGCGGATCTGCGAGTTAGCCTCGCGGCGGTACCCAGGTCCCGATGCTCCCAGTGAACGCGCGGCCGTCCGCCGGCTGCTGCGCGGGCATACACCGTACGATGGGGCGGGATGCCTCACCCGTGTCGCGCCTTTCAGAAAGGGCCTCGTTTCGTTGCCCGAGGCAGTGGAGGGCTGCCCGCCGTTTGAGGACGTGGCCCCTCCAGAGGTCCAGAGATTCCTGAAGGGGCATCCCGAGCGCATGCTGCGCGCTGACAGTCCCTCTTCTACTGTGGCACCTTACTTTGACCCCGCGCTGAAGCGCAGCGTGAGGACCTACAGGCAGTTCATCAGCGACCTACGCCGACGCGGATTGGTCGGCAGGACCATGCGCCCGCGCTGCCAGGTCGGCCTTCTCTTTGCTGAGAAGGACGGAGGTCAGCGGCCCAGGCTCATCCTTGACGCCAGGCCCGCGAACCCTCTCTTCGAGCCGCCGCCGGGCGTCAGCCTCCTGAGCGCGGAGGGCCTCAGCCGAGTCGAGATCGCCCTGCCGGATGGCCTTGACCCTTGGAGCGAGGAGGCGGAGCGGCTACTCAGCAGCTACTCTCTGCATGTGGGCCTGGCCGATGTGAAGGACTGCTTCCACAGGTTGCGACTTCCTGGATGGCTCTCCGAGTACTTCTGCCTACCCGTCGTGCCAGCGTACTTGCTGGGCGTGGAGGGCGAGATCTGGGGAGGCACGATCTGGTGAGTCCGTGCTGGGCCGTCTTTCCGATGGGTTTCACGTGGAGCTTGTGGGCTGCCCAGCGGATCAACGAGTACCAGGCGAGTTCCTCTGCCCGCAGCTGCGCGAGAGCCCCCTTTCTGACCGTGGCAGGCCCCCCGTCTTCGGCCCCAGCGTCCCCAAGGGCCACGTCTCGCACTACGTGTACGTCGACAACCTGGGGGTGGCCTCCACCGACCAGCCCATCGTCACCGATGCGATCGCACAGCTGGTTGAGGGCTTCGACCAGCGCGGCCTCCTCCTCCACGGCAGCTCCGTGGGCACCGAGGTCGAGACGCTGGGCGCCGAGGTTTCGGGGGCCCTCTGGAGGACGAGAGTGGCGCAGAAGCGTTTCTGGCTCATTCGACAGGCCCTGAACGGCCTCCTGCGACGCCGCCGCCTCACGGGCTGGGCGGTCGAGGTCCTGGTGGGCCACTGCACGTTTGCGGGATTGCTGAGCAGGGGTACGTTGAGCGTATTCCACGCGGTCTACGCCTTCATGCGGAAGTCATACGCCGAGCCCAGCGTGCTGTGGCACGAGGCCCGCAAGGAGCTCGAGACGTTCCGAGGCCTCCTTATCTTCTTGGAGAGTGATTGGGCGCTGCAGTGGAACGATCTGGTGGTGGCGACCGACAGCAGCTTGGAGGCAGGAGCTGTCGCGACCACCCGATGGCCTCGTTCGCTGGTGGCCGAAGTGGGCCGCGCGCAGGAGCGCGCCCGCTTTCGGGGGCCCGCGGCGGCCGAGACCGACGGCGCTGCCGGGGCCGCTCCTGCCGCCCGCCGCGGCGCGCGAGAGGCGGCGCTGGAGGCGGCGGGCTTCTGGCGCGACGCCGATGGCGAGTGGCGGCTGGCCGAGGGCGTGGTCGACGACGACGAGCAGGCCGCTGCGTGGGAGGCGGGCCCCTCCTTCCCGGAGGTGCACGCCGCGGGCCTGGCGAGCAGCCGCTGGCGCACCGAGCAGGTGCAGCGCTGGCGATTCGGGGAGGGCATCCTTACTGAGGAGGCCCGAGCACTGGTGATTGGCGTTCGACGCGTTGCCCAGTCTGCGTTCGGTGCCGCCTGCCGTCAGCTGATTCTGTCTGACAACATGTCAGTTGTAGTGTCTTTTAACAGGAGTCGTGCTAAAGAGTTTGCTCTCCTCGTCCAGGTCCGCAGGTTTCAAGCCTACTGTCTCGCAAGGAATCTGAAGGTGTCTGTGAGGTGGGTTCTCTCTGAGTTGAACCCCGCCGATTATGGGTCTCGCGTTTTTGATAAGAAAGGGGCTAAGGAGTCTCTTGGTGCACTTCTTCCAGATACATTTTTTCTCAGAGGAGTCCAGGTCTAAAGGTCCCCCTGAGGTTCGCGCTCCCTTCCATTTCCACCCGTCCGAGAATTCTGTGCAGTGCCCGTTGCAGTGTGCCCCTCAGAGAGCTCTGTCTGTTCTGCCCCAAGTGCCCGAGGAATCTGACTGGCCCCTTGATGCCCGTGTTTGCTCTGAACCTGCGTGCTCAAGGTGCGGTCTGACGTCCTCGTATCCCGTTTCGGCTCAAACCTATTTGCAGGCCCACCCCTTTGACGGGCCTTCGTCCTCGCATGCTGCGCCGAGGACGGCTGCGGGAGACCCCGCCGCCTCCGCCTGGGGCTCCAGCGCGGCGGCCGCGCCTGCGGGTGAGGGCTGCGTCGGCCGAGCCTGCCGCGCCGATCTCCCGACAGTTCGCGGCGCGAGAGTCGGGCAGCAGGACCCCCCAAGGGCCGCAGCCCCTGCCGAAGCTCACCGCGGCCCGGCGGGCGCAGGACTGGAGGGCCAGGCTGAGCTTGGCCGAGCTGCCGTCAGCGCCCAAACTGCCCAAGCGCGAGCGCGACCTCCAAGCCCTCCCCCAGGACTGGTCGCGCCCGATCGCGGCCAGCAGCGTCGACGGCGGTAGCACCTCCGACGATCAGCAGGTCGAGCCAGCCGGCGAGAGGCGCGAGGGGGAGCCGCTGAAAGAGGCAGCTCGGAGGCGGGCCTTGACCATGGCCCCAGGAATGGGCGAGGCGATGGCCGGCTACGTGAACCATCTGTCCTTCGAGGGCCCCGAGAACGCCGAGGGCTGTCAGGAGAGGGCAGGCCTCGCGCACAGGTTCGGGGAGTTCTTGAGGCAGGACAAAGACATGACACCTCGGGCGTGGAAGGGCCTCCAGGGATGGCGCAGGCTGGCGCCCCGGCGGGGCCGCCGCGCAAGGCCGTTGGCCCTCAGGTGCGGCCTCGCCTGGCGCATGGGGGCGCAGAATGTGCTGCCGATGGCGGTGCTCCTGCTCGCGATGGTCTCCGGCTACCTCTGGCCCAGTCGTCGGCTGAAGTTGGCGAGAGGCAACATCATCGCTTCTGCGATGGGAGAGTGCCGTCGGTGGTCGCTGCTGCTGTTGCTGGACAACAGGCCCCAGAGAAGCGAGACGAGGCTCTCGGACGTCGGGGTGATGCTGGACAACGGATGTATTCGGTGTGCCATGCCTATCTTCCGAGAGCTCGCCCGAGGGGATCACGAAGAAGAGGGGCGGGCGTTCAGTTATTCTCAGTTTCGGGCAGTGTTGAAGAAGGAAGCGATCGACCCGCATATCCGAGACCACATTGTCCCTTGTCCAGCCAGACGCTCAGGACCCAGCATGGGCAACGCTCGACGGTACCGAACGATCGCAGAGATGCAAGAGAGAGGACAGTGGAGGCATGCCATGTCGATGCAACGTTACGTGAGGACGGCGAAGCCGGGTCAAAGCAGACCTCTCATGCCGTCCCGGCCGCCAGGTATTTTGACACAGTGCGAGTTACATCTAGAGGACATACTGTTCGGAAACATTGCCGAGACAACTATCCTGTGAGGCGGCGCGGCCGCCAGCGTAAGTACATTCTTGATTTGTTCTCGGGTTCGAACTCGATAGGTAAGGCTGCTTTAAGGCGGGGCTTCAACTACCATGGTTTTGACAGCCTCAATGGGCCCAGCGAGGACCTCGCTAGACCTGTCGTGCTTGCGCGTGTTAGGGCCGCTATATCTAGGCATGAGGTGATAGCCGCTTCTCTTGGGCCTCCTTGTGCTTCTTGGGGAACAGCGGCCGATCGGGGGCGTCAGCCGGGCCGCTCAAATAATTTTCCTTGGGGCCTGCCCGACGCCTCCGAATGCGCAGCTAGGAGATTTTTACAGGGAAACGCCACACTTCGTGCAGCGCTAAAATTAATGAAGGCGCTTGCCCGATCGCAGGCCCCCATTGTTTTCGAGCGTCCGATCAATAGTAGAGCCTGGCACGCGCCTGAACTAAAGTCTCTTACCGATCGATATTGCATGCATTCTCGTGTGTGTGCGTGATCAGTGCCAAGTCGGGGTCCGCTGGAGAAAGCGCGCACGTTTTTTTTTTGTTTTTCGGAGTGGACCCCCAGGACACTTTGAAAGTCCAGAGACGGTGCCACAGTGTTGGTGGGGTTTGCTCGGCTTCAGGGAAGCCCTACATCATCCTGGAAGGCAAGGCCCCCTCTGGGGCCACGCGGGCGTCTCTAGCAGCTTCGTATCCTCCGAAGCTGGCTGACTGCATTGTCGACTGTTTACTCTGCCGCCAGAGGGGCCAAGAGGCGGCATCCTTCCTTTAACCCGCCTCGCCCTTCCAGAGAACCCTTTGGGACTTTGGGCTGTCAATTGCGTCCCAGCTCCGCCGAGACGAGTGGCACGTGGCAGCAAAAACGTTCCCCACCGAATGTAGCAGTTAACCTGTCAGTGCGTGCGCGGGAAGGTTGTGAGCGTAATGACTTGATGAGACAGGTCAGAAACGAACCAATTTAAATGGGGGACCCCTGGACTCCATAGCCTTTCTTCGGTTCCCGCCCTCCCTTGTCTCCCTCTCTGCTCTGTCGCCAGGCTGTCAATTGCGTCCCAGCTCCGCCAAGACGAGTGGCACGTGGTAGCAAAAACGTTCCCCACCGAATGTAGCAGTTAACCTATACCTATATACGTGTGCGCGTCCCCTTCATATGTTGGTTTGTGCTATCCTGTTCGAAGATACTGTGCAACGTCTTGCAGGCACAGGTGCACATTGCATTTCCGCCGACGCACGGTGGCGAGGCCCACCCGTGCACGGAATCATGCGCCCGCGAGTTGACGTTCTGCGATGCACGTAGGGGGGGGGGGGGGGGGGGGGAGGAGGGGGATTTAGAGAAGGAGGGGGAATGTGATGCGGAGCACTGCCTCGTCCAGGCCGCAACATTGTAGGAGGACTCAGACAAAACAGCCATGCGAGGTTGAACTCGCAGTGGCGGATGTCCCAGCATTCGGCGGTGGAGCTTTTGATCCAGTAAAAAACCACGCGCGGTTTGTTTCCGCCAACGCGAGTGCCTCCTGGAAGGCTGTATCTCTGGAGGCCCGTGGGAGAGCGTGGACAGGGTGAGGATCAATCCCAAAAGAAGTCCACGCCCCAACGGGCGCTCCAGGATTGTTCCTTGCGGTCTGGGTTATCGAATGTGCTTTATTTATGCGGTTGGCGGTAGATCCCCTGGCACCCATGCCTTCCTCCGGCAAGGCCGTCCATGCGAAAATCGTTGGGATGTTTCAGTGCTGCTGTGGCTGCAAATTTCGATGGCATCGCCTTTTCGGAGTCTACTCCAAGGTTGCGCCCAGAGAATCGTTTCTTGCGGTCCGGGGTGGCGAGTGTGGTTTCGCCACGCGGCGGGTCCAGAGGCGCGAGGGTGGTCGCGCTTCGTGCGGCGGCTGCCCCTCTGGCAGCGAGGGCGCCCTCTTCCTGCTATCAGAAACCACTTGTTTTTAGTCGCTGGGTTGCTCCATTGCTGTTGTGGTGGACATATCTATGTCAGCGGCGTTCCCGCAGTCCACTCCAAGGTTGCGCCAGGATAATCGCGTCTCGCGGCCTCTGTTGGGGAGTTATCTCCTTCCCTGGGTTTGTTGCGCCTGCCTCTCCCCGGCCGCGGCCGCGCGCTGGCGAGAGCGTGAGAGAATGATATATATATATATAGAGAGAGAGAGAGAGAGAGAGAGAGAGAGAGAGAGAGAGAGAGAGAGAGAGAGAGAGAGAGAGAGAAAAAAAAAAAAAGACCCAACGTTGAGCCTTGCGGGCTGGGATATTCCCTATCATGTTGATTATTATCCTTTGTCCCATCTTCTTTTCCCATAGTTATTCAGGCACCAGCGACTTGCGGATCCCAGCAGTGCAAGTGCATAACCGCGCAGCTTCGGAGCCCCAAACTGAATTATTATTTGGTGTTATTTGCTGTTCTTTGGATGCAGAGATATCCGACCAGGTGGTCTCGAATTTTGCGGCCTGGTTGCGGATGTGCCCCGGTTGGGGCGGCGCCGTTGACAAGCCCGCAACATCCTTGACATGGCCCGCGCGTTGCCTGACGATGTCCGCGAGATGGTGTTCTTTGCTGCTCTGCCCTGAGTGGTCGATTCGGTGGTCGAGAAACCGCTGGACGGACTGCTCAGTGTTGCCTTGTTCGTTGCAGAGGGCTCCCCCGCGGCCTCTTTTGAAGCAGACTCTCTCGGGGCTTCCGCGAGCGCGCCGCGCTTGCTCGAGGTGTAGAAGCAGCAGAGCACGCGGGTGCACATATGCAAACTAAGCAACTTTCTTTCCCATCGGGTCATGCTCACCACGGGGCCGAAGACTGGGCAACAGCGAGCTGCAACGCGTCCCGTTGCCGGCCACGAGCAGCTTTGAAGTAGTTTTTGCGCGTGCTGTGATGGACATGTGTACAATCAGATGGTGCAGGGGGCATCCCCCCTCAACGCAGGAACATGTGCAGTAGCGCAGAGGTGGAACTGTATACACATACATATATATATATACATATATATATATGTGTAAGTAGGAGTATACATGCACAAATGTGTCTGCCAAACGCACACACACATATACATATATTTATGTGTATATATATGTATGTATGTATATATATACATATATATATATATATATATGTATATACATTTACTCACATAGACACATATCTATATACGTGGGGGCGTCCCCCTCATATGTTTATGTGTTGTATCCTTGGCGAAGAAAGTGCGCAGCGTTTTGCAATCACATGTGCATGCCGCATTGCCGACGCGCGGCGGCGAGTCTCACCCGCGCGCGGAATCATGCGCCCGCAAGTTGAGGGTCCGCGATGCACGCGTGGTGAACGGGGTGGGGATGGGGGGGCGTTAGAGAAGGGAAGGGATTCGTGATGCGGATCGCTGCCCCGTTCAAGCCGCCCTTCGGTGCTAGCGACCAAGGTAGAGGAATTGGCCCAGTCGGCCGACGCTCGGTTGGCGCTAGCGCGGGAGGCGGGGTGCTTCCACCCATCCGATTTTCCAGATGTGTCCATGG